GTTAAAATGGATAAAGCAAAAACCAATTTCTGTCGAATTGTTTCCTATTAAATGTGGACCAGTAGGCCTCATTTGCAGTTCTTATCAAAGTTATACCATTTGGTGGTAGAAATAACTTTCATATCAATTAAAAAGTTTTAATATACAAAATATCACTATATATCTCATATAAAAGTGAAAGCTAGTTCGGATTACGTATTGAATTACGAGTTAGAAACTATGGTAATGTATCCTTATTCTGATTAGTTTAACTCCAAAGTGAAGATTCTCACTAGACTAACCAGACGATCCAAAGGAAAAGTCTAATATCTAAAGTAAAAACATAAACTGTATGGTTTGTGTGATATTTTCACATTTTAACTTACTCATAACAGAATAACACCTGGATACATAATTACACTTATATATAGTCAAAGACCAATTATTAAATATTAATATATAGTAGTTGATATACTGAAACAACTGTACTGAGTTTTGTCGTACATCTTATATATTTATACATAACACCTGTCAAGTTACTTGCATTGATTTGTCACCCTTTTTGAAATTCGAACCAATTCCGAATCCTAAGAAGTTGTTAAATCAGCGTCTTTAAATATGCCCGCTTAGAAGCAGATATTTCAACGGAAGTATAACATACTGTTTAATCAGAATTAAGATAGCTTATCATGTTTATTCCACGAAATTTAGAGTGTTGGTAGATGGTTTGTTGTATGATTTGTTAACCTAGTGAAAAGTAGGATTAATCAAATTTCTGGATGCCTGGGACCAATAGAAATATTTATCATGCAACAAAAATGAATTTAGGGTGATCCTTAAGCTTAGTTAAAAAAATACCTGCCCTAAAGCACATAGCACATTAAAGTACTTAATGTGACTCACTGCATACTCAAGAGTGTTTAGTGAAACTTGATAATATTGTCTCCTTTTAGCTCATTTTACAGGTCTCGATCCAAACTTCCCAAGTTTGTAAACCTTTTAAGGATTCTAAAAGATTGGATCATATCTGATATCAGTTCTCAATCTCTAATTTCGGGGAAAATTTTATCCGTTTTGGGGATATTTAGGGGAATCCGCAATATAAAATTTCAGGGCAAAGGCACGAAGACCCCAAAATAGGGAGAATACCAAAGGTATATAGCGATCAGAACATATGCTAAACAAATGAGAGAAAGCTACGATCAACCAAATCAATATAGAAACGCTACTTATTCAAAAATCCAAGCTTCCTTTTGGAGCTCAAAGGGTGATCATAACGTGTGCTGAGAGGATGAGATAACCCAACATTTTGAATGTACTATAAGTATGTTGTACATGGCAGTTCCTGCCACCTTTTTGCATATTTAGTAAGACACTGCAAATAAAGAGACGTGATTTCAATGATTTTTTTAAAAAAACTTTAACGGTCTGATAATTTAGTCGCAGTTAAACGTATCTGTTTAAAATCTTCGGAGGACTTATAATAACATTTTGTTGAGGCTTATTCTGTATTTGAGATGCGATTGGTTTATTGTGCCTTTGTGCTTCGGGAGATTCTCCAAGCCTTTTGAAGCACCCTATCGACTACTGGAAATGTTGACAAAATAAGGTTTATATTAATCACCATATTTTAGTTTAAGGATATCTAAACCAATCGGCAAGCCTAAAAGTTTGAATAAGTCTTATGGTTTTCAAACCTCCTCAATAATTTTATGAAACTCTACATTAAATTTTGCATATTTATTCACTAACGACTGTATATCCTGTGATTTATAAGAAGTGAAGACCAATCTAACGAGAGCATGTCCGTAGTTAATGCCATTTAAAAGTTTATCGGTCGTAAGAGTTTGAGAGTTGAGTGAAAGGGTTCCAGAGTGTAAAAGATATAGTTCGTAACAATTGTCTCTTTTTTACATAATGCCTTTGTTTCCAAAGCAGCAAAACCACCAACTCCTGATGAAAATGCCCAATATTGAACTTCAGATGTCTTCTTATGTGTAAGCGGAAGCTTTAGGATAGTGAACAGAAACTAAGCAGTTAGAACCTCTCTATATATCCGTGTTTTAAACAACGGCTATTTCGGCCGTCCACAAGAAACACCTGTCGGCCTTTTACAGAGATTCAATTATTCTGGTGGCCACTCTTACTTGGCTTGTATTCATTTTGTGGAGGGCTATCAGCTTCCGGACACAGCTTCATCGCTTTAAGTCACAGAATGTGTAAAGGAGAACTATCGTATAGAGATTATGAATGCTGATTCAGAAGTTGGGGAGTTTAAAATCGTCATAAGTGCAATACATTACTTTAAGTTTTTGGCATACGGAAGCTTTATTCATTCGGTCTAGGAAGAAGCATTTAATGGATTTTGTTTGACTGATGATAATGTTTCAAAACTGGACAGACATTGATTTATTACTTAAGAAAGTTATTTGATAAATGTTGTTGCAGATATTCCATGTACCATTCAACCGTATTTGACTAAGATCATGTACGTGAGTGTAAAGTTTTACCAGACACAAAATAAATCAGAAGTTGCAACATGGTCGCTAAGTGTAGTGACTAATACTTCTTGGTTTGGAGTCCGCCTAGGGTTACTGCTGGTTTCAAGCTGAGCAAAGAAGGGGTTGGGAGTAAGGCTTGGGGTACCATAGCATGTAAAAGGATCCTGCCATAACATGTCAAGCGGAAAAATCATGCAAATCACTTAAACTATGCCCTAGATGCTAAAGTTTTGAAAAAGACGACATACGGTGCTTTACGTCAAAGGACCGGAAGTTTCGGAAGTCATGAAGCAAGGGTTCTTACTGATAACCACAGCGCTACAACAGTATGAAATGAGCGTCCAGCGCACCATGGCGGAACGAAGAAAGAATGAATCGTAACTGCTGGGAAACTTTGATGAACTTTTATTGCATAATGTTCGATCGAGCAATTATTAAGTAACTAGATTATATATATTCGCACTTGTTTTATAATCAGCTTTCATTTTCTTTACTGGCCGCCGTATACGATTGACGATTCTTTATTTATTCCCAATTTATTAATTACAGTCTCCTATACTCACAGCCACTTTTCTCTTGAACCTGTATGGTTTTCATCCTTCATTTTGTGGTGTAATGAGGTCTAACCTACTAGTATATAAACCACGTATGTCTGAAATGTACGATTCATGCAGTGGAGTCTGAGTTTATGTTCTAGACTGAGTGGGCTGAGCTAGACAAGAAGCTGTTATACAGAGGACCGATAAGAACTCGGATTTGACTCACGGTTGGACGTGCTGGCTAATAAACAGAGACAACATCAATGAAGTCGAAATCCCCACTGGCATTTGTGTTACTTGATAGTTGACAGGTCCAAAGAAAATAACATAGTGTTCGCAGGTTTTCAGCGGCTGCCTAACTTAGGTTGATTGTTGAATCCAGTGAACCTCAACGATCTACTAACGAACAATTCACAATCCACTACAGGAAGATATAGAATCTGATGCTCACACGAAATGGGAAACCTTGTGGCTTTTATACACATTTTTCTAATAATAGTGGTGTGTTACCGGCTCAATCTTTGTCCCTAACATGGGCAGCTGCGAATGTACCAATAAACAGGGATCTCGTTTTAATTTCTGTGTGGTAGCAAAAAGATATCCAGTTCACATATGAGCAATCAAAGTGTAGTAATTCAATATGGGAGGACTAAAAAGTCTTTAGTAAGACAAGAATGAATTAGTTATTACCATTTTGAATGACAATAATGCGTTATTCAAAATTCAGAATCTGGAGACATCAATAATAATAATAATAACTGAAAACAAACTGGAAGACGAACATAATATATGCGATAACAGAGAACTATAGAAGTAGCGTCAACGTTACGAGAAACAAAGAAGTGCAACCAATTGAAGTGTATGTGTAATGATTAGGAGAATTTGAGTTATTGTACAAACTAGGAATCCCAGAAGTAACGCAATTAAATCAAGAAGTACTAGATAAGCATAAGCGAATGCGCTGTATTTGGAATTCGAAATCGAGCATTAAACAAGTACAAAGGAATCGTGAATTCATACAAACACCACAGTATGCATACGTGGGACTCATGGACACATACAAACACAGACATACGAGAAAGCTCATCACTGCAGACTATCAATTTTATCTCCAGTGAAATATACATTAAAGAGAGCATTTTCAACTGGGTGTATCCTTATCTTACTATGAGTCTGTCATACCTGAAACGATCTACCAGAATCAGCAGTCACAGTCTTCTCAGCAGGAAGATTTAAGGAGAAGCTTGATGACCATGCTGAAGATGCCGTAGGTATCCGGAGTTTGACAACACTTTAACCAGTAACACCTTCCCATATGAAGCGTACCCACCAAGTGAAATCAAAAGACAGAAGCGAGGAGACCAAAGATATATTTGATAAGCTATCAATATATCGAGGATCGTCTGAACTAATCTGGCTAGGGATTGCAGTAGATGTTGGGCACGGCGTTTCCACACGTGATCTGGTGCAGATGCATGACCGAGCGCCTTCAGCTAGATGAGTCCCTTAAAACTAATGAGATCAGCATCCAATGTTGAAAACATATAGAGCTATTTATTTTGGGGATTTATTTACCGCTACAATACACATACACATAGTCTACAGCACATATTTGCGTTTAAATTGTGCATGTTAACTGATAAAATTATTTTACATTCATTGGCCCAACTGTGCAATAGCTTGAGAATAACCCGTCAATTTTGGTAATTGTTAGCATAGCTACCTTAAAGTGTTTCTCATAATTTCCATTTTCACTCTATTTTTGCATACCTTTCCATTCATTCGCTTAATTGCTGGATTGGTTAGTTAGCCAATTTGTACCAGGCAACTTGTGATTCACCTACTTTCCTTTATTCCAATTTTAAAGATCTGTTTTATGCCAAATGAATTAGCCGATTGACTAGCATAGTTTTAGCTTTCTTTTTAACCTTTACCGTTTTATTAAAGATTGATACGGATGTTTTGTTTAAATCAATCACATGGGAAGTTATTTGCTTGGGATTATTCAGTTGTGTAAACTGTAACGTTTATATATCTTGTGGTATTCAATTTTATTTTCAAAAGTCATTATGTCCTTATTTTATACCTGAATTATTGCTGACTGATGTTGACTGCACTCAAAGCCTTATATGTTCTAACTAAGTGATTGGTGATATTTTTCTGTTGTTATTTTTCAGAAAATCTCATACTCATCTATCAAAGGCTTGACGTACCGAAATTTACTAAATGAACTTTGGTTGGAACTTATCGGGTTATAAAAACCTTGGCCTTGTATGCGAAGGGTTATGCACGAATGTTCCATTGAAGAATGTTCAAATAAAATGTAGGGTAGTAAATATGCTTTCAGACGTCAAGGTAGAGTTTTTGTACGAGAACTCACTACAGGAAGCTCTGGAGGCGTCATTCGTTTTTCCACTGAATAATGTAGCGGTTTACCATTTCGAGGCACAAATCGGTGACAAAAAAATAGTATCCGTGTGTCGTCCACGTACAGAGGTAGGTAGGATAAATTGCCATTTTATTTGTATAAATTCGGGAAAGTTAGTAATTATACCACTGGCTTGCGTTGTTTATAATAGCTTGTCTTTAATATCTGTACAACGATACTCGGACAACGACGCTTCACTGATTATTTTCAGTTCTTATCGTTAATGATAGTCGGTCCAAACGGTTCTTATTGTACATATTACATGGTTTTGTGTGTTAAAGTGGAACTCAGCATACTTTCTATATTGTTTTACTTATTGAAATATTAAAGCTAGAACTCGATTGGATTTAGTCCATGATTCGGGACTTCATAGTCTATATAAAAGGGTTTCATCTTGAGATTCGTAATCAACATTTAGATAGTACTGTCTGGTTAAAATTAACAATTCGGGTATACATTACGGAGTGCTGTCCTAACTCCTATTGATGTGTCATAGTTTATAGCAAATCAAAACATATTTGTGACATATATATATATATATATATATATATATATATAATTGTAACACAGATATTGGTACAGGGAGGCACCAAATAACATATGCGCCACACAGACCTCGTTTGATGTGTGTGAGGGCTGTGATACTGCCCGGGTGCCCAAACCAAAGCAGGTGGTTTTCTTATGGGGCCACACCCCGAGCCTTTGATCCAAAGGTCTGACCTAGAAGGCAGTGAAGCATCGTAAGGAGATGCAATCCCACGGTAGCCGGTGAACAAAAATTGGTTCATGCGCCATTTGTTCCCTCAGGATACTGGAGCCCATGTGCATTATTGGTGTGGGACCCGGTTAGAGCGCCGGACATTTGCTTTTCGTCCTCTCGTTTTCGTCAACAACAGTAATGCCACGTGAAGGCATTGAGTAGGACTTCCCTGGCAGAGGCTATATACGCGTGGTTATGTGAGAGCATTTCGAGAGGGGGAGCGGACTTTCCCCACTCTCGGCCATACCATATATATATATATATAATCAGCTTTACATGTTTCATACAACGGCTTATTTAAAAAATATGTGTTTCTGGTGGGTATATTTCATATATATGTTTATACAGATTAGACGTATGAAATGTAGTGTTGAGAAAGTTTTTCAAGCCAATTCCATCTCGCTGTGATTTGGCAATCGTACAGGTTGTTAATGACAAGCTGAAATGGGTAGCAAATAGAGTAAGTGATCGAAAGACGTACATACATATGTACATATAAAAGGGGTCAAGGTTACAGGAGCAAATGCTTTTGTACATGGTGACTCGAGAAGTTCAGGGTGACTTGAATCATCAAATGTATTAACATGGCAACGCACTTTTGCTTCGAATGCAGTTTGAGAGAGTCATGGTTTTGAACCAAAAATAACTCACTTTTGAGTAAAGAGTTATCTAAGCATGTAGTTTGGATAGAAAATAACAGCGCTTCTTATCAGACAAAAGTTGGATTGAGTCCTCTAAACTGGCAGATCAATCGGTATGGAAAACGTTGTGCCATAAAGTGATTTTCTAAGTTTACTTTTTGTTACATAGCTTATACCGCGAAAATGTTTTACTGAATATCGGCGCTTCTTAGATATAGATTGGGAACTTGATTTATTCATGATTTAAAAAACAGTAAATGTTACTAACTTACAAGATGTGGCTATCACTCAGAGGTACGTTTACAACTTTGGGTTTCTTCAATATTTATTTAGTGAATAGCTTTTTATTATATAAAAACAAGTGGCCTTTTTACTTTCTAATAAGTAGCCTTATAACTACTTATTTTACGTTAGTTTCAGGTCATCCAGGTTAAAGTAGAGTATACCTTCACTTTATCAAATAACTTAATGGTGATATTTATTTTATCTTACTTCAATGAAGGCTAAAGAAACGTATGACAGTGCTGTTGAAGAAGGGCACACAGCAATCTTGGCCGAACAGGATGAACATTGTGCTGATTTATTTAAAATGAACATCGGGAACATACCGCCAAATGGAAAGGTTGGTATAGTTCTACAATATGTTGGACTGATAGAAGGAAAAAACGTGAAGACAGATACATCTAAGTTCAGCCACTCTGAAATTATCTTAACTTTGCCAAGCGTTATCAACCCACGTTACTACCCAAAAGGTAAATAATTACGTTTTGTTTAATTTCAGTTCAGAAAAAAAGCATTCCGACGAGTTTGAGCCGTTTACGGAGCTTGTTCTTGTGAATTCCGTGCCCTACACAATAACATTTGAATCTGAACTTTGGATGCCGTCAAAAATTCTGGATGTCAAATCAACACATGATAGTTTCACTTTGAACTGTACAAACAATTCTAATCACGGCCTTGTAAGCTCCATCATTTTTTGTGTTTTTTGGTGGTCTAAAGCTGTTTTTGTATATCGATCCTAGAGGTACCAAGTATTCTGTTTTCCATTGCTTTCAAGACTCGCCTATACTTAAGGTCATATGTTTACAGAAGTAATACTACTCATTCAGAGTGATGATCGTGTTTATTTTAATTCACCAGAATATACTTGTTTGTCCTAAAAAGTTGTAAGTTATTTCCCAATATTTTTATTATCTACTTTCGACTATGGAACTACAGTTAAATTTACTAAACCTACTGTCTTGTATTACACATTCTCAGGGTGCTTATTGTAGCCCTACCCTTTCTTGCTGAAAAAAAATATTCGGGGTATGCACAGTGGGCTTCTAGTTATTTCATGATCCTGTATTTACGATTTTATTGTGGCTCTTGACTTTTAAGTTTAGTTACGTTTTGCGCGAAACTTGTTTGGTTCTACATTTATCTTTAACAACTCATTCATGTATTTTAAGCATCAAGTTACTAACGCGTTGGTTGTAAAGTGGATGACTAGTGTTTCTATCTGCCGGTTTTGTTATCAGCGGATAGCAAATAATCTTCATCACTCAAAATAACTGTACTCGCCTAACTACTCTATTACCTAAAGTCAGTTTATAGCACTAAATACTTAGAAGAATTTATTATTCTGTCATGCATAAATATTTCTGGTAATGCAACTTGCAATAATTAAAGAAATTAGAGATCTGCCGCAGGTTTGTGAGACAAAAAGATTTCAATTTAGTTTGTTATGTGTAATAACGTTCTATCCACATGGTTTGTCTTGAAAATTACAAAGATGATATCAAAATTACTCAGGAGATTTTTCACGCCGTCTTAACAGTGTGTTTGAGATTATATAATTTCTAAGTTTTGGCACGGTTTTTGCACTATAATTTTGTTTTCTGAAATGAAACCGTTTACACGATTTCCTAATAATTTATTTTTTGAAGGTATCTGTAGAGCTTGATACGAGGAATGACATCTTGGTTTTGTCCTTCATGGTATAACAATCTAAAACGTATTGAGTGATGGAAACCAGTTGATTTACTTGTTAGTTTTCCATCGCATGAAAATAGGGACTTTACAGCCATTCTTTTCGGTCACTTGAACTATGATTTGGTGGTCAAACTATTCAACTCTTGATCACTACATCTCAAACCCTGTCTGGGCTCTTAGGTAGTGTCGATAATCGTCAAAATAATATTACTTGAAACCATGTTCATAAATCTGTAGTTGATTAGTAATTCATACGAATTAATTTTAATTTATGTTTTAGGTCAAACTTTCTTCTGAGTTTATACCAGATCATGATCTTCAAATGGTCCTAAGTCTTTCTGATCCACTTACATCTCTGGCATCTCTGGAATATGGTGATCCAAACCATTCGTCTATATTGGCTATGAACTGTTTGATGGTACAGCTTTTGCCTGATATTCCTACCGTCGTTAGTTCTAAAGACATGCGATATGAGTTCGTGTTTTTAATCGATCGCTCAGGTTTGTCATTTCATTTTTTTATTCGTCTTACTGGATACAGTTTTGATGGTTGCTCGTTAGCCCAGCATTTTGGTGGTTTTTAACATCAAGGTCACATCTAAGCATCCATAAATGAGTGGAAAATAGTGAACCGTAAACGTTTCTTTCAATAGGGTTATTTAGTACTGTAAATTATAATGACCTGAGTACACACCAGTGTGTGTAATTCTGATTTAACAGATAACTTATGTGTATAATCGATTTCACGATAGTATTGAATAGCATTTGCTTCGTTTATTCATGGTTCTCATAAAATATTTTAAATGTTTCACAGTGAATGTCACGAGAGCCGTTAACTAAGTTCCATCATGTAGCATTTCTCGTATGACTGATACTATTTACCAATAACTAATGATCACGAAAAGTCTCGTAATTTGGTAAATTTTCACTTCGCAGTATTCTATTCATTGTTTTTAACATCGCCATTAACAGGAATTGAGACTCAGTTTAGAAGTTTAAACTGAAGTCATAACTTTATAACTCGTTAATAATCTCATCTTTATTATTGTCCTTAATAACTTATGATTACGTATAACACAAATTTTTACTTGAATTTACAGGTAGTATGGAAGGTGATAATATTTCTTACGCTAAGACCTCCCTTCTTCTCTTCTTAAAGAGCTTACCTATGAGTTGTCGTTTTCAGATTATTGGCTTCGGGAGTGATTTTGCTGCTTTATTTTCAGAGTAAGCAGAATGTTATTTAGAGTCAATATTGTGATGACTCAGCTTTCCACCAGAATCATGTACCTTGAAGATGATTATTCTTTAAATGATCACTAGTGTACGTAAAAATGCACGGCCATTTCCACTTTTCTTACATTCAGTTCCCGTTTTCATTTTGCAAATCCAAAATCATTTTTGACTCTTAGTCGAATTCGCGATCACACCTTTATAGTTGTCTTGTTTAATGCATAAAATCTGGTACTACAAGGCACCAGAAATAGTGATCATCATGCAAAATAAAGAGAATGTTGTAATGAAATAAGTCATGGAAAAGGAGCGTTGTCGATTAGAAATAAAAGCAGTCTAGTAAGAATCATATATCATACGAGAAACAGATCTATTAAAATTACGACCAAGTGCAGTTTTAATTGTTCGTGTATCATTTCACAGTAGGACAATGTCACTCCCATACTCAGGGTCGAAGCGTTTTTCTCTGGGGAATGGATCATCGCCACAAACATGTAATTCCTTCAGAACTAAGTGTTATCGAAGTTGGGGAGAAATGGTGATACTTTACATTGCTGGATTTTAAAAACTAAGGGGAGTGATTTTATGCCTTCATTTTGCCTTCGAGAATTTAATAAACTCCTAATGCACACTATTATTCAACAAACAATTCTAGAACATAGTTCTGTCCAGCTAATTGAGGGAAGCCCTGAAATTAAGAAACAATGATTTTTGGTCTGAAATAAGTGTGGTGCTGCCGTAACATTTACCGGGAGTAAGGATGTGATATGCACGTGCACGACCATAACGAACACCAGCCTGTTCATTACGAGTCAATCTTCTGCGGGTTTCAAACAATCTGTAAAGTATGATGGAAATCAGTAGTGTGGACGAGATCAAATGTCAACTTGTCTCATTGTTGTTGCATAAGTGGCGTAGGGTCTTTTTAAAGATGGAGATGACGGTTGCCCTATTCTGAGATGTTGGAATATCTCTGTATTCCAGACCTTTTCAAACAACCCGGTCAGTTCCTTGACTAGAAGTTTACCATCATCATTAAACCGAACCAGGGTCTAGGCTTGATGACTTGTGGCATTTCATAACTTGGAGTTCAAAGTGAACTTCCCTCTCGTTAGGTGGATCGGTAGTTACCGACCAGCGAGTACTAGATCTTTTGACTGACGATATTGGGGCCATAGACCAGGTAAGATATTCCTCGGAAAACTCCCTGTGGAATCCATTACATGTTACTGAATAGCGTATTATCGACTTCAGAATTTTTAACTGACACCAGATGTCTAGTTTCCAGTGATTCAGATGAGTTGAAATGTGGTCTAGCGATTGGCAGATGCATCTGCTGCTTTCAAGTCGTTAGCACGCTACAATCACAGGGTTCCTTAGTCCTTACACAAACTTGACTCAAGAATCTACATTTATCATCAAACTCGTAGTTTACCAGAGTAGATGGGGATGCTTCAAGGAGTTGTAAAGAGTCTGTAGAAACTAAGCGACTTAATCGACCAGTTCCACATCGTCATGCTGAGGCATCCGATACTCATCTACATTTGTCAGTGAACTAGTATCCAAACTCAGTCATTACTCGGTTTGATATTTAGTTGCAAAAGCTGCAGGCAATTTCCTTATATCAGTCCGTTTAAGATGAGATACATAGTGGTCACCGAAGTACGAAATAAGCTTGACGAAAACCTGACCATAATCAAAGCAACTGTCTTATGCACATCAACACCAACGATAGCTGATGTCAGTGTGATCAATCTGAGTTCATGTTTGAACTACAGAGGGAGGATGCTAGAAATTTAGCGATTAGTGTGCTAAAAGTTGGAGCTAGCCATACACAAGCTATGGTTTGCACAAGGTTTCAGGAAATGTTCATCGTTATCGGACTTGCGACTACAGATCAGTCACTGGACTTTCACGTGACTCTTCTTTGTGCCTAAATTTCCGACCTGCGCAACGAAACCGACTAGCATTGCAATATCTGTCGAATGCGCTTTCTCGGGAAGTTCACTTAACTGGTGGTAGGGCACATCCATTATTGTGTCCGGGCTTACAATCTGCCAGGGTTTAGGCGATAAAAGAAAGACATTGTTTTCCCTATTAGTTTCTCTTTACAATACATCAACGATTGTTGATAAGGATCGGACTGACTGCTCTCGCATCTACTCTGAGTTTAGTGCGACGCCAACGTCAGCTAAACCAGATGAGGATACCATCCTGTCCTAAGGTAATCGCACGTGAAACAAACTTCTTGAATCGGCAGATACATAACGAATTTGTACTACTCCAATTAAGTCTTTAATAAGGTTTTTAGAAATACGATAAACATCAATATAAAAGCTTTCCAAAAACATAGACAAACCTATCTATTGTCCGATCTGCATCAGTGTGGGAACGTTAAAGAAAACATGTTCAAGTGTCACATGTGATTTTGGAAATGGTGTATCAAGGATCGCATTCGATGCCAGAACTCATAAATTTGACTATTCTGCAACTTGAGATCGTTTAGACTGAACAAAACTTTCGTTGTAGACGAGTTGTCAAATGAGCTGAAGAATAAAAGTATGTACAAAACAGAACAAAAAAGAACAGGTAGACTCCGCATAAAATAAATTTGCATGTAACCATATGATTGTAAATACTGTCTGTGTGAATACTGAAGCACAGAAAAAACATTTTGTTCAGTAGTAACCATCATAATATTTGTTTAAGTGTTAGGATTCTGTTTAGTTCTTCAAACCGAAGCCGGCAGTTATTCTTGGGGGTCCATTTCGTGGGCACTTAGCCTGGAGACTTAGTCCACGAGGTACTAGAAAAACTTCAGATGCTGTCCCATGGTAGCCGGTAGTCAAAATATGTTCATATTCCATGCGTTCCTTCCTGCTCTCGCAACTAATTTACACCATTTGTTCCCGATCAGGTTTTTCAAACTCCTTGATCTTTATTTGGTCATTTCTTCATGGTTTTGTGTTTTTGGTATTTAGCATCTATTCAGTTAAGGAGTGTGCAGCATTTGCTCACTTGTGTTTAAGGCTATTGTGTTTTAATTTCTTTGTGTTTTCTGCAAATGCCTTCGTGTCACACTTATATGGCAGACTTCCAATATCTTGAATAAGTTTGACTTTTCAGTTTGATTTTCGATGTACTGTCTTATATAAATTTTTAGCCATTCATTCACTCTTTACGGCGCCTTACAGTTGATTCGTTCGACATGAAGCAGATCAGTTGTTCTACTAAAGTCAAAATGATGTAAACTCATCGAAACTCAGGAGTACCGGGATGTGTAACATAATACCCCAGTCACATCCGATGAATTTTCAATCTAACCAATCAGTTTGCCAACCTAAACTAATACCCCACGCCTAACCACAATTCAACTCCGTGTTATCCTCATATGCAAGCAGTTCTTTGAAAAGACCAAGTATTCACTAACTATGCATGTTTTTTCACTATCACGGTGGGTGCGATGATGATACGTTATAAGCATAATTTAAACCATGATAGTGGACCCAGGTTAATATTCGAAGTTAATCTGCTCTAATGAAATAGCTGTTTTTTCAGTCTTTTGTTCATCATTATTTCTGATGGGGATAAAGAGTTGTATCATTTTTATTTACTAATTCATTGAATGACTATTTTTATAATTAGACCTACAGACTATTCTGAAGGATCGTTAAATACAGCAATGAACTACCAAAAAGACCTAAATGCTGATATGGGCGGTACAGAAGCTTACAATGCTCTAAAGTCGGCTCTATATTCAACACCGAGTGGTGAAGGTTGGTTCAAACAAATCATATTTCTTACGGACGGTGATGTAGGTAATGCAGATGAGGTATGTTTTCTGTTTTCCTCTAACCTTTAACTCTTTTGCTTGATCGAATCCCTTATTTTGAAAGACTAAAGCTGTAATACATCTACCTACTGTTAACAACAAGGTCGATTGTAGTATTCACGTTGTTTATTTGTTTTCTTGCTTTAAATGCCTGTTAACATTCATGATTAATCACAAAAACTAGTATTTGGAGGTACTATATTTATTCAAAATGAGATAATTTGTAATTACATCACTTTTTATGCTAATGTGAAGTAAGCGTAGTTGAGTAGAAGTGGATATGATGGTGGTCGGTTTAGTTGTTATATGTATTGGTCTTCAGAACTTTATACAGCTATGACTTAATAGGATAAAACTGCGAATGTATGCCTTTGTATTATGGATTGTAAATGTAACTGTTTCAGACACCTAGTTAGCGTCTGTCTACCTTTTATACAAGCGTATTTCAAACATAATACTTAAAATTGTCTTAGCTTCCTGATTACCAACAACTTCAAACTATTTAATTAATAGAGGGATAAATATATTCCAACATAACATCAAATTGAGACTGCTTCATCATTAAAAATCAGTTTATAAGTATCACCACTATGCATTATAAGCAAAGATGGATAGTGGCTAGCAGTGGAATCCAGGACGCGCGTTTCGTCCTATTTGGGACTCGTCAGCTGGATGTACCTGCATCTCAGAGTTGATGTTCACTCCGGGACTCTATAATGCTTGTAAATTAAGGCAATATCGAGGCATACGCACAGTATGCACATATGCCAATAAGAGACTGAACAATTTCAGTCCTAAACATTAATGGGAAGATTCAAATAAAACAATATCAAGTGAATTAAACTTCACCTCATTGCACAAGCAAGTAGCTATCAGGACTCAGTAGCTAAGTGGATAACGCGATGGCGTTTGAAGCGGACGGTACTGGGTTCGATTCCCGGAGTGAATATCAACTCTGAGATGCAGGTACATCCAGCTGACGAGTCCCAAATAGGACGAAACGCGCGTCCTGGATTCCACTGCTAGCCACTATCCATCTTTGCTTATAATGCTTGTAAATTAAGGCAATATCGAGGCATACGCACAGTATGCACATATTCCAATAAGAGACTGAACAAATTCAGTCCTAAACATCAATGGGAAGATTCAAATAAAACAATATCAAGTGAATTATCACCACTATGGTTTGACTTGATACTTTCAAATACATAGAACACTAGTTCAATTATTCGTAGTAATAAGACAAAAATATACTTTTAACCATTCAATGAGTAGAACTTCCAAATTTCAATGTTTCATGACTTTGCATAAGTCTCCTTTGGTGAAAAACGTTAGAAATTCAATTTCCTATTCAGCAGAATATTAAGAAAAAAATGTTTCGGTGAGAATTATAGATTCACCGGATATGACAAACGTATTATTATATGAGTGTTATAAATATCAATCTGCGTTAATGTGATTAGATAAACTCTCTTACATTATGAACTACTGAAATTATTCAATTATAAACTAAATTAAAGCAATTAAAAGCTTGTTCAGAATTAAACTTTATTAAAGTACCTTAAAACTAATTTCTGTTATTCATCAATATTTACTTCATACATATTTAGGTCATCGGTTTGGTACGAATGAATGTTGACAAAGCAAGAGTATTTACCATAGGACTTGGACAAGGAGTAAGCACTGCACTAATCGGTGGTGTTGCTCGAGCTGGCAATGGTACAGCAGAATTTGTTCGTGATCCGTAAGTGTTTGTTTTCCTGTTTTTCTGTAGTGTATCATTTACTTTTATTCTGTTTTAACTCTTTTCTGAATTGTGTTTCAGTGGCACTTTAGTTATATTAGTCTTATTTCTCTTTTGTTATGTATTTGTTATTCTACTAACCGTATTCGTACGGCATTCAATCCGTGTTAAGGTTGGTCAAACCTTACCAGGTGAAGCCGATTGGGTTTTGCAAGGCTCGCAAACCTACCGCGTGGATGTGATTTTGTAGGAAAGTCGTTAACCCAGGTCTTGATTCACGGGCATCACACCAGGGCAAGTTTAATCTACATGCATACTGAAAACTTGTAAGTTTTCACTCATGCGTCTTTTGACATACGCATAAATATACGTTTCATAGACAACAGTAACACACAAGTTTCTACTCATACATCTATCATACATATAGATATATTCACCCAGCTGGTAGGGTAGATGATAAGTCACCACTCCCTTCAAATATATTTGCTACAACTGACTGTCACTTACGCATTGCGTACGTATCACTGGTACAAAGGCTTTCTTCCTATAGACCGCCCAAGTTAGCTAGTAAGGTTGTCCCTGCTACCCAGCAGCGCTGTGAAAAGGCTTTAGGTCAGACTTTGCTGCCATCATATTAGATTTTACTCATCAATTGATGTTTATGTTGTGATCAAGCTAGTTAATTTCCTTTTTAATAAAAATGCTTGAGGAAATAATGATTATTTTCAGTTCGATATTTCATGAGACATGAATTACAAATGATTCGCTACAATAAATGTTGCATTCATAAGCCTACTACAAAATTATGGTCTTATCATTTTCTGGATAATAAATATTCAACTGTCAAAGGACTAGTGGACAGAAGCCATTGCCGATTTTGTTTAGGCTTTAACTAACGGATATACGTGCCAATGAGAATCTGTTGAAATATTTGAGTACTTTTTGTGGTCACAAAGCGTGTCATTTATGTTTATGTGAATTTTACTTTGTTCAAACGCTGGTTTTCACACTGAATAAAGAATGTTTTTTATGTAAGAAACATGATTAAAGTTGCAGTTCAGTTACTAAAAAGCGAGACGAATAGATTATATCCATCAATATAAATAAATCTTGTTGGATTTTACCTGAAAATAAATGGCATGACGGGTCAAATATTTATTCCATTTTATAACAATTTGATACGATGAAGCCTGTAAAATACCTGGTAGCTGTACCACCATGTATCTCTTCCTGTCTTGGTCAACTCTCATATGTCTAGATTCATGTATAAATGTTGTGGTTTTAATATATTCGACTATTTTAATTTAGCTCTCAGCTTCAGTCAGCTGTGATGAGGACTCTTTCAGCTGCATTACAGCCAAGAGCTGATAATATTGAAATAGATTGGAAGCTAGTCGAGAAATTTCATGATGGCAAGGAGAAACCAATAGAAGTGGTAGTTGTTCCCAAGCAAATAGCTCCAGTATTTCCTGATCGGTTCTCGACATATTTCGGTTTTTTCAGATCTGGTTAGTAAATGTAATCATATTTACGATTATCCAAAATATTTAATTTAAAAATTAGTCTTCATTATGGCATATACAACTACTGATGACCTGTCTGTGTTGGTATATACTGTAACACTTATTTTCGAATTATTTGTAATAAGTATACTTTTGTGAGCCTTTCTGCCAGTGTTTTTTATCGTACCACTACCTCTCACAGACAATCCACTACGATATATGTTTACTTTCTCAGTTATTTCTAAATAACACTTAACGTAATAACTATCTGAAGTATGGCAGAATAGGTATGTAGTCACTATCGGACTAACTGATGAATAGCTGTAAATGCTATAATATTCCAACGAACATTATGACAATTAATTAAAGGTATATTTGTGATAGCACAATGAGTAGGAATTTGAATTTCTGAAGTTTCGTAACTTAGTGTAAACCACTTCTTCACAGTAAACAAGTAAATAACTAAAATTAGTTATATATGTATACTAACATAACTTCCATAACAAAGTTAGAAGTAAAAACTATAAGGGAGTAGATGAAATGTGCTTAGAGAACTTCTGGATCTATCAGCCAACTGCGATTCGTTGAAAAGGAAATAATAAGCATGTTCAAATCATTATTTCATTGAATTTTTAAACCTATTTTGTTAAGAGTAGTCTATTTATCTAATAGTTGAAAGCTGATAAACTGGTATCATGTCATATTTGCATAAATATGGTTTAGTCATTGAAGAAAGTAATCTATTAACCTTTAGCAGATATTCAGTCAATGTGCACCATCAATATAAGAATTTATGTTAATTTGGTTAATTGAATTCGTTTCATGTATCTCAGTTACATTTTTTTAAAATAATATTTTCTATTTTTCTTCCGTCGTTATTTATACAATAGATAAATCATCAACTATTCACGGACAAGTAAATTTCAATTGTAGTGTACTAGGTGAAAAGAAATCATTCATATTAAGTATATTGAATGCGATATCGTTTAATGACAAGTTGAATTGTTCTGGAAGTTTACCGATTCATCGACTAGCGGGAAATATGCGAATGAATGAACTTATAGATGAATACCATAGTATACAATTGAATGAAATGAATGAAAAAAATGAAACAGGACTGAAGTCCATACGTCAACAAGTTGAAGATTTATCATGTCAATTGAATATATTATCAAAATTCACTTCTTTAGTTGCCGTAGATCCAACCAAGTTAGGTAATTAATATGAATTCCATTAGTACTATGGTAAAAGTTTCTGTTCATTTCATGTAGTTTACCTTCCATCACTTGTCGTAATGTGATTAGAATTACCTTACTTCATTGTACAAAATAAAGCATAGTGGATTTCTCTCACCGTCTTACTATTTGTATTACTCTTCTGATTGCTTTTTTTGTTCTGTTTTAGATGTTGATCCGAAGGAAAGAGTTAAAGTCACTGTACCTCTTATGTTCCATCGTTTCTCTGGTATGATTCATTAAACACTTATTTCATAATGTTCATTTGTATGTTTACTTTATTAATGAACTAGGATTTTATGGATTTATTAAATCAGTCCAACCTCAATCGGGTGATTCAAACAACCAGTAAAAAAATGAATCAGTCCAACGTTTTTTTTGTCCGACTGATGTATACGTATTTATAAAAACTTTCTCGTAATTTAATTTTGGGATTAAACACAACATGAACAAAAGGTTTATGAGTATTATGAGTTAGGTTGATTTCTCGCTTACTATATCTGTAATTCTGACAAGTTTTGTATTATAAACTACTCAGCTTGACGAAGTGATTCAAAGTTCATATCATCACGAATCGTCTGAACTATATTATTTGGAATATCTCTCCCTTGATACTCTTCTATCTAGGGTAGGTTGGTTGAAAAACATATCAAAGAAACCACATAAATCTGCTGGGAATCATTGATTGGGAAATTATGGATCAGTCAGAGTTTACGATGCGCTAATATTTGAATCATCTCCATCAAATAGTGTCCATCATCGCTGTCCATTTTCCTCATTTTCACCATATCTTGTCACATATATGATCATTTTTAACTTGACTTTAAAATTATTGATCTCTGACATAAAAACCTCACTGACTAAGTACGTAGGCGAAAGCGTGAGTGGCGAGAATGAATGTTTACGATTCATATCTCTTCCTATAGATTCGAAATGTTACTCGGAGACTGGTCTTCATCAAATAATGGTTAAGTTGGTTGGCGTACTCAAGCCGTAACGAGGTTATTGGTCAATGAACTCTCAATGTAAGAGCTAACGGTCTCTTCATCATTTGCTAGTTCACGTCAAACTTCGAGCTAGAAAGATGTTCATCTTTCTATCAAAAGATGAGTATACTATGCACCAACTTGTACTTTGTTACCTAGTAATTATGAAAATTGTCTTCAGAGACCGATGGTATACTTATATTGGTATTCTAGATCACATGTATCTTCTAAGCTTGTTCCTTTCTATTGGAAACAGCAAATAACTATGTTTTGGATATGTAGATTATTAGTCAAAGATGATAAATCAGTTTACGAAGATTCGATCTTCCATCTACCAATCTAAGTGGAGTTCGTGTTTTGTATGTCTAGGAATTGCTGGCTTTTAAGTACCGTCCTGGTTACAGTAAAAGAAGTTGAAAACGGCTGTTAGGAACGACTATATCGAGCCAAGGGGATTAGTTACAGCAAGACATTGATTGATAACCTGAGCTTTGGTTAAAGGTGCATACTTTATTGTTAGACTTTCGAAATAGTCGTCATTTATTTAAACACCCTGAAAGACGTTCTTTAATAACACTCGAATAATACCAGACAAATTGATACCTTACTTTTCTCCGATGCGTAGTATAATTCTATCCATTCGTTTTATCCTTACCATTAATTCGACTTTCTAACTTTTTCTTAATACTCTCGTTTTATTGACGTCAAGAACAGTATCACAAACTGCTAAACATATATACCAAGTCCTGCTGTGCTTATGATTAATTGATTATCATCTGAATCATTATCTATCGATATATTAGTAACGTTGTATATTGATCTTATATTTATGCTTTCTCTTTGATTAAAATCAGTACATTATGAAAAGTACTTTAAATCTAGTCCATTTTATTGTTACTCGGCTGTTTACGATATAAGTGCGTAAATGCTATAATTATTTCTTATGACCTTATAATATCCATGAGAATGTATATTGCATAATATTTTTAAAAAAATGTCGTCGAAACACTATTCTTATTTGCTAACATTATAATCCTTTCAATTCGTTTAAAATTTTCATAGCATCATATGACATAGCTCAGATTTTTCTGATAATAATTTATTGTTTACTAACTGATATTTTGGCTAAAATGTTTATACCAATGATTGTATCATTAAAACTATTAAATAACATTCATATTACACTTTTCACGTGTACACCTTTCTTTTTTTACTGTCTTTATTCTTCTTAGTTTCCAAAATGGCAATGCCTGCAGCGAATATTTGTTATGATACCTTTGATGGTGGTAAGTTTATTCCAGTGTTGATGTTTATATATTGCTTAGGCTCATCGATAAATTTTATTTTGCATCATATTCGACTTTGAATTTGTTAACTGTCTCTTAATCATGTATAGTAAATCAAAGAATTTGTTTTTTGTGTTGTTGTTAATAGAATGACCCAGTAACTCATTGCTTTTTCATTAATGCATGTAGATAATTAACAAAATAAAGTATTATATAAGATGGTTCAATATAATTTTGGTCTAAAAAGTCATCCTGTTTAGCTATAATTGTAAAATAGTTAATTTTGCTTTTTGAAATGCATTTAGTTAAAGCATAAAATCTTGTGTTTATTTAAACAAGATTGTCATCATCAACATTATAAATATCAGAAATCTTATCCCTTTTTGTTTAAATTAAATATTTTATAACTGTTTAATCATTTGTTTAACGTATTTTTCACTTGAATATTTTGTAATGTAATAGTTGAGATCATGAGTCAATTGAAGCTAGACCACCATGGTAAACCTGGAAGCACTGGACAGTCGTTTCATCCTATTGTAGCACTCTTCAGCAGTACTCATTCATGGTGGTCTAGCTTCAATTGACTCATGATTTCAACTGTTAAATTACTATAATATCCACCAAAACCGCTTTCTGATATTTTGTAATTGTTAATTCATTGAATATTATCTTGGTGTTTTAAGATTAGTTTAACTAATTGTATCTTTTGATCTACTGGGAATTTCATAAACGTTACTTCCTTGATATGTCTTTATTTTGTCGATTTTATTGTTAATATTCTATACTTTTACAGATTGCGATGGAGCTGATAGATGCTCTGGTAAGTTAACCTCCTTCCCATATTACTTTAATTATTCGAAGTATTCAGATATCCACGTTTTCTGCTTTATAAGTCAGTAAAAATGTACATTGTTTATTTTACACGCACGAGCATGTATTGATATATCGTCTTAATATGTCATATCGTGTTTAGTGATAATGAGAAATTATGAAACGAATTTTATCAAATGAACTTATAAGTCATACTGTTTTATACCTGAATACATATGTCGCGTGTACTAAAATTCAAAATACGTTTATTAAAACGATGGATATAGCAATTCACTTTACGAATTCAAGGATATTTGAAATTCCGGTGTGAAAGTTAATACTTGGACAAATTATACTATTTCATCATGGTTCATATTGTATAAAAAAATTAACCTAGAAATCTCCAATCCTTCCTCATAGGTGCATCATATGTTTACCAAGTAATGGTGATTTGAAAAAAAACTAAAATCCGAATGAAACTTTAAAATACATCAAACAATATTATACATTGACAATACTGTAAAATGAATTATATCAATAACTGACTAATAGAGTATATGAGAGATATATTCTTTCCAATATGTACTACATTGAAGTTGAGATGACCGAATATTGCTAATTGATTTACATCAATTACAGGTTTTTTTTTCTTGTACGAAACATAAGGTACGAGTGTGTATCATCCTAAAAATTGGAAAACTATGTAACGTAATTGGAATCAGGAATATCGATCACATCAAATGCCCTGGTATGGCTGAGAGTGGGGTGGGTTCGCCCCCCCTCTCGAAATACTCTCACACGGCCACGCGTATATAGCCTCTGCCAGGGAAGTCCTACTCACTGCCTTCTCGTGGCGGGGGTGTTGTTTACAAAAATGAGAGGACGAAAAGCGAGTGTCCGGCGCTATAACCGGATCCCAAATCAATGGTGCACATGGGCTCCAGTATCCTGCGGGAACAAACGGCGTATGAACCAATTTCTTGGTCACTGGCTACCATGGGACTGCGTCTTCTAACGATGCTCCACTGTTTTGTGGGTTAGACCTTTAGGTCGAAGGCTCGGTTTGGGCACCCGGGTAGTATCACAGCCCACACACAAATATAATGAAAATGATGATGTTCTCTGAAAACTCTATTCACGCCGCGATTTACCGTCAGACATTTAACATTTATTATTATTATTATTATTATTATTATTATTATTATTATTATTATTACTATTATTATTTACCACGTCATTTATTCACTCTCTTTTATTTCCACTCTGTCTATCTGTATTTTTCGACTTATACAGCAGCTCGCCTATGGTGGAAATTCGGCTCTATCTAAACGTTCTCGAGTCACTGCCTGGTTGAAAATTGTATGTTGCCATCGAATACGAGTACTGAAGCAGTTTTTCTGAAACCACGTGCACCATTCAAACTGGCTGCCTTTAACGTTCGCACACTTATGCAGGTCGGACAACAGATGGGGCTGGCTATGTCTTTGGAAAGTCTTAATATTGGCGTTTGTTGTCTATCCGAGATCCGTATTCAAGACTCTGGTGAAGTACTACAAGTTCGCTCTCCATCTGTCACTTCAAAAAGCTTGTTTTATGTGCGTTTATCCGGGGACCCTGTGGCATCTTCGTCTGGTCTTGCTGGCGTTGGTGTCGCACTAAGCGCAAGAGCTGAGGCAGCACTAGTCGACTGGATCCCCATTAACAGTCGGTTATGTGCTGTTAGATTAGAAAGTTCCATCAAAGTGAGAAGAAATCGGCGTGAGAAACGATGTCTTTTCGTCATCTCCGCCTATGCCCCGACAGATTGCAGCCCGGATGCAATCAAGGACGAGTTCTACCATCAGCTAACTGTTCTTCTCCAGAAAGTGCGTTCGACAGATATTGTAGTATTAGCTGGAGACTTGAATGCTCAGGTCGGGCGTCTAGGCACAACACGGAAATCACCAAGTCAATCACAATTGATGGAGATGCTGTGGGTGTGGAAACTTGCACGTACCTGTCTGGTCAGTATCATCAATGAACAAGGAGGATCTGATGTAGATGTGAAGGAAAGAATTGGCAAGATAAGGTCAGAATTGTTATGATTTAAAAAAATGTAACTCAAAACAACTGTTAGCCAACATCAAGGTCAAGGTCCTTAGTACGAACTTCAAGACAGTTTTGTTGTATAGAGCTGAAGCTCCGAGAGCACCTGCAACCAGCATTAAAAAGGTACAAGTATTTACGAACAATCGTCAACGCGAGATACTCGATGTCGATTAGCCAATTACCATCAGAAACAGCTCACTATGGGAGAGAAAAAACTAGCTTCGAGCTGAAGAGGAAATTGTTATGATTTGATGTCCGGCTTACGATCACGTGACTTATACACCAATCAGAATACGGCTTATACGAATATTCGCACTATGACAAGACCAATGACGTTCAACCGGTCTGAGCAGTCTAGCGTCCTATTGGGTCCTACGTCCTTCTAGCCCGTCCTCTTGAGTCCAGAACACAATACCAGCTTCTGAATCAACCAAATCGAACCAAATCATTTATTTTAGACATACTCGGTTTATATATCAATCAGGCAGACCACAACGTACCATAAAATAGAAACTAACATGTGTACACAAATAGGCCAAAAAGTGGCTGTGAATGTGGGAGACAGTAATTAATAAACTGAGCATAATTTAGGGACAGTAAATCGTACAATGATAAATTATAGGTCAAAGTGAAGCTTATGATAAGGGGAATATAAATATACATAATCTAACTATTAAATAATTACACCGTAAGAATATATAGATAATATTAGTCAATTAATGTCTCAGAAGTTACTCGTGATTTAATCTTCGCTCGGATATAACAGAAATTATAATTTCTCATACGGCCACGCGTATATAGCTTCTACCAGGGAAGTCCTACTCAATGCTTTCTCGTAGCGGGAGTGTTGTTTACGAAAATGAGAGGACGAAAAGCAAATGTGTGGTGTTTGAATGAATACAATACATTCCTTAGTGCTTGTGTAGTACTTCTTCATTCAATTGCGTTATTTCTGGGACTATTAGTTCATACTATAATTCAAATACTTCTAATTATCATAAAATGTCCGGCGCTTTAACCGGGTCCCAAACCAATGGTGCACATGGGCTCCAGTAACAAATGGCGTATAAACCAATTTCTTGGTCACCGCCTATGCCCCGACAGATTGCAGCCCGGATGCAATCAAGGATGAATTCTACCACCAGTTAACTATTCTTCTCCAGAAAGTGAGTTCGACAGATATTGTAGTATAAGCCGGAGACTTGAATGCTCAGGTCGGGCGTCTAGGCACTGAAGAGAGTCGTTTAGGTGGCCGATGGGGACTTGTTGGTCGCAGGACAGATAACGGGGAACGTCTACTGCAACTATGCACAGACCACAACCTGTTTCTGGCTAGCACTAACTTTCGGCACAGTCATCGCCGATGTGCCACCTGGCGTCCTACCTCTGCATCTCAAGCCTGGACTCAGATTGATCACATTGCGACCAGCTACCGCTGGCGTGGTTGTGTACAAAACTGCCGCTCCTTTTGGAGTACGTATCTGGAATCTGATCATGCCCTAGTCTGCGCCAGTCTCACCTTACTTTTCAGTGGCCAACGAAGTGACCGCCACCAAGAGCAGTTCAACTGGTCTGCTGCCTGGAGAAAGACTTCTCGACCTTGAGTATGCGGATGATATTGTCTTACTGTGCGAGAATGCCCAAGCTATGCAATCCGCACTTAATCGGTTGGCAATCAATGTCCGTAGGTATGGTATGTGCTTTGCACCTACGAAGTGCAAAGTACTTCTACAAGGCTGGCAGGATTCTAATCCTGTACTCACCCTAGATGGTGAGCAGATAGAAGTAGTCGAGAAGTTCGTGTATCTAGGTAGCTGCATAAGTGCTGGTGGTGGCGTGAGTGATGAGATTAATGTACGTATAGTGAATGCCAGAGCGGCTTATGCCAATCTGGGTCATCTTTGGCGCCTTCATGATGTTAGTCTGGCTGTAAAAGGTCGGATCTACAACGCGTCGGTGAGAGCAGTTTTGCTCTATGCTTGTGAAACCTGGCCTCTCCGAGTTGAGGATGTTAGACGACTCTCTGTGTTTGATCATCGTTGTCTCCTTCTCTTTAAATTCTCATAGTTTTGTGTGGCGCATATATATTTGGTGCCTCCTTGTACCAATATTTATGTGTTCAAATAAATAAATCACTTATGAATATACACATGAAGGTGAAAGAGAAGTTATCGTCTTCACACAAAATAAAATGATTATTTTACAGTTATTTTTTATTATTAGCTAATTTTTAAAGTCCAACGCGTCCAAGATAACTCACATTGGAATATTTATCTGTATTGATACATTATTCTTTATCATCGAGATCAACACCTTGTTCTTACCCGATTGTAAATTATTTTGTAAGATATGCAGTTCAAATCATATCTATACTAAAACCCATAGTTCACTGAAGTAGTAATTAGAGTATTTATAATACCCTTTATTTTGAATGAGTATCAGTAACAATATTAGTTGTAACTATCTTAAAATTGTCTGTTTCTAATTACATTCCTTTAATTAATGTTTATTATTTTAGATTCGCCGATGTGCGCCTTCACTGGTTCGTTGGGTTTTGATACAAGCATGTGTGCTGAAGGTAGGCTCGTCATTATCTTTTAATTAATTACTTACTTACGCCTGTTACTCCCAATGGAGCATAGGCCGCCGATCAGCATTCTCCAAACCACTCTATCCTGGACCTTCCTTTCCAGTTCTATCCAATTTTTCTTCATTTTTTTCATATCTGTCTTCATTTCTCGGCGTAATGTGTTCTTTGGTCTTCCTCTTTTCCTTTGGCCTTGGGGATTCCCTGTGAGAGCTTGCCTTGTGGCGCAGTTGGGTGCTTTCCTCAATGTGTGTTCTATCCACTTTCAGCACATCTTCCTGATTTCTTCCTCCGCTGGCATCTGGTTTTTTCTCTCCCATAGTAGGTTGTTGGTAATAGTATCTGGCCAGCGGATCCGAAATATTTTGCATAGACAACTTTTAATATACACTTGTATCTTCTGGATGATGGCTTTCGTAGTTCACCAGGTTTCCGCCCCATACAATAGAACTGTCTTGACATTTGTGTCGAAAATTCTGACCTTGGTATTGGTTTACAGCTGTTTTGAGTTCCATATGTTTTTCAGTTGTAAATATGCTGCTCTTGCTATGCTGATCCGCGCCTTCACGTCTGCATCAGATCCACCATGCTCATTAATGATGCTGCCCAGGTTTTTACTTCTTCCAAATCTTCTCCATCAAGTGTGAAGCTTTCATAGCGTTGTCCTGTCCACTCTATTAAATGCTTTCTCGTAGTCAATGAAGTTGATGTATAGTGATGAATTCCATTCAATCGATTGTTCCATAATGATCCGTAGTGTTGCGATTTGGTCTGTACACGATCGATTTTTATGGAATCCAGCCTGTTGGTCTCGAAGTTGGTCGTCTACGGAGTCTTTCATTCTGTTTGACAAAACCCTGTTGAAGACTTCCTGGTATTGAGAGAAGAGTGATTCCCCTGTAGTTATCACAGTTGCTGAGATCGCCAAAGGATTCGATACCTGAGAATTAACAAATATATTCCCGACAAACGGGATCAAATATCTATCGTCAGGGATTCCAGAAATCCTCTCAAGCAGACAGTCAAAGTTTAACATTCACAAACTGAACCACGCCGTGGCCTTGAGCTTAGTCAAACACGACCTCACTGTCAATAGTCCAGCAACATGCAATAGAAAATTAGGTAATAAAAATTTGTCTTTAATCGAAATCACATCATAAAAGCTCAAACGAGATATGAACAAAGGTTAAAATATATGACAGGGAGAAGAAACAAATAAATGAGAATACTGTTTAACAAAAAAGGCTGTGGAGGGATTTTCATCGTTCTCTTTCCGTTGCAATATGAACTCGTATAATATTAAATATCTTCTCAGGCACGCTTAATGTCGAAGAATCTTCCATAGTGTTGTCCTGTCCACGCTATTAAATGCTTTCTCGTAGTCAGTGCAGTTGATGTAGAGTGATGGATTCCACTCGATCGATTGTCCCATAATGATCCGTAGTGTTGCGATTTGGTCTGTACACGATCGAATTTTATGGAATCCAGTCTGTTGGTCTCGAAGTTGGTCGTCTACGGAGTCTTTCATTCTGTTTGGCAACACCCTGTTGAAGACTTCCTGGTATTGAGAGAAGAGTGATTCCCCTGTAGTTATCACAGTTGCTGAGATCGCCTTTCTTTGGTATTTTGTTCAGAATTTCTTCTTTCCAGTCTGTTGGTATTTGTTCGTCATCCCGAATCTTGCTGAAGAGAATGCCAAGTATCCTTGCAGTCACCACTACGTCTGCTTTCAGTGCCTCTGCTGGAATATTTTCTGGTGCTTCTTGAGTTTCACTTTCATCTTGGCGAACAGCAAGTGATGATCTGATGCAATATCGGCTCCCCTCTTGTTCTCACTTCCTCCATAGTCCTCCTGAACTTTGTGTTGATGCAGATATGGTCGATTTGGTTCTGTGTGGTGTGATCCGGTGAAGTCCATGCGGCTTTGTTTATGTGCTTGTGTAGGAATATAGTGCCGCCTATGACCAGTTTATTGAAGACACATAGATTTGCAAATCTCTCACCATTTTCGTTCCTTTCTCCCAGTCCATGTCGTCCCATGATATCTTCATATCCAGTGTTGTCCATTCGAACCTTGGCATTTAAATCTCCCATTAGAATGGTCAGGTCCTTTGTTCGACACTTCTCAATAATTGACTGCGGCCGATCATAGAATTGATCTTTAGCGTCCTCATTGTAGTCGTTGGTAGGCGCATAGCATTGGATGACGTTCAGTGTAATACCCTTTCTTTGTTTTGAAGGAGGCTTTAATGATCATTGATCCATGAAATTCCCATCCTATAAATGCATTTTGTCCTTGTTTTGATAGCATCAATGCGACTCCTTGTGTATGTGCAGCATTTTCTTCATCATGAACGGAATATAACAGAAGCTTCATTGAAGCTAGTCGTTGCGTCCAATGTGTTTCACTGATCTCAAGCACCTCTAGGCTATATCTCCTCATTTCTGCAGCAATTTGTAAGACTCTCCCAGTTGCCCACATTGTACGAACATTCCATGTACCTAAATAAATGGTTCCTCTGGTTTTCAGAAGGGGCATCGGCCTCATGACTTCCGAAGGAACTCGGCTTTCACCATGAGGCGTCATAACTCTTCTAAATTAAAACCTGACTCCCAGATCAGTGTTTAAATGGTTTGAATGATTTTTTCTGGTTAGCGTTTTTTAGCGAGTTAGTTTTCTACGGGATAGGGTCGCTGTCTCCATGCCCAACCTTTCTCCTTTATCAGGGCTTGGGACCGGCAGTAGCCTCAGAGGGGCTCCAAGCGTAGTTTTTTAATTAAAATTCAATATCGATTGTAATAACAACTAAACTTATCACAGCTAATCCATTTTGCCTCCTTATGGTTACAAATACACCTAAACGATAAGTGTTAACATTATCTCAATCTAGATTAAAGGTTTACAGTCAATATAATTAAAAACGTACAAAAGAGTATAATGTACTTAATGCATACGTCTTGATAGAAACCCTGTCAATGTAATAAATTGTTTTACAGAATAATATTCTGTAAATTGTTTATTCGTGTCATAAGTACAATCACATCTTTAAAATAAATAATATTAAATCTCTTTTTTTATTTATTATACTCAAATTAATCTATTTCTTCAAATTGAATAATTATTGGGAATTTTAATCACATTATCAGTACTACTTTAAAATCATCATTTAAAGTAGTCATGTTTATTTTTTTATAAAAAAAACCAGATTATTTTGAAGCATTATTATAGTATTGTCTAGTGTACTTGTTTCAATCATTTGAAGAGATTTCTCAAGTGCTTTCATTCATTAAACTAGTTACGTGATTAAGTTTTCTAATTCCTCCTCCCCGCCCCCCCAAAAAATGCTTCATAATTCGTGCAAACCTTTAAACATATCCTCATTGAAACTGTTTAAACGTGAAACTCTCATAAAATAAATTGTACACTTGTTTCTCATTTGTATATTGGTTAAATAATGGCATATTATGTCAGCTTTTAACAAAATCATGTACCATATGAAAGGGACATTACGGTAGTTTTAAGTTAAGACCGATTATTTATCTGAGTTCCTTTATGATAATATTTTTGTCTTATTGATATTTTTACTTGTTTTGGATCTGTTTTAAGACAATCACTATCTATTACAATCTGTGATCTATTGGTATTTCACTATATGTTATTCTTTCAAACAATTAAT